GTCCAACGAGAGGCGTTTTGCGCTTTTTGGCCGCTCAAAACGTGTTCAGTGTGAACGCAGCATAAGGCTGAGTTCACCTGGAACTCATCAGACTGAAGAAGTCTCTTGGAGGAGAGACGAAATGTTTCATTAAAGAAGAAACCGTCCAGAGGACCTACTTATTTTTTCTTTTTGATTTTTTTAAACATTAACAGCGATAGCAGCATTAGAAGCATTAGCAGTGTTAACKGTTGCATTTGTCTCAAGATAATGTCATCGTAACAAGAGCTGAGCAGACTTTGTTCCATTCCGAAATACTTAAACGTAAACGTCAACATTTATCCACAACATTTAAGATTTAACTCTTACATTTAGAATTACACATTTAGATAACATTTAAATGAACAGTGAGCTAAATAACAATAAAAAGTGATTGGATTTTTTTAAACTAGGATTTTAGAAAGACTGCTAAATAATAAAATTGTGTTTTTTAAACATTTTATTTTACACTTGGCACTTCAGATAGGAACAGTTTTAGTCTTAACACATCTTACCTCAGGCAGTGACTCTCACCACAAAGTGTCRGTCATTTCAGCACTTCATTAAAAATTGTTTGCCTTTTTACACAAAACAAACAAGAAAAATCTAAACAATTAAAAATATGAAATAAGGACTTATTTTTATTTTTAGCTCAAGTCGATAAAAGTTTCACAGGAATGATTCAGATTTGATTCCTTTAAATAAAGACCATCTTGTCTGAGTAAGTGTGTCCAGAATGGAAACTCCCATGAGACCATGTCCCCCTGGAGCGATCCAATAAATACTGATATGATTGCTTATACAGACTGCATAACTCCCTGCAACCCTCTGAGTTATCTGACTTTACTGTCAAAACACTCTCAAACATTTGGGCTCCTGTTCAGCGCTCTAATTTGTTATTTCTACATCAGTGTGATCTGTTGACAGGCTGATCAATAAAAATGCTGCCTTAGCTCATCCTGTGGCTTCACACCAAGACACTGAACCTGACCTCAGAGCCACCCAGCCTTTCCTGTTCCAGAGACTCACACTGATTGTTGTTGTTTTTTTTCACTTAGCTCCTTCCTCCTGTTGAGGAAACGCTACGTGATGGTTCCTCTGCGCTAATCCTTTGCATCCCTGGGGGGTGTGCTTGTTTTTGAAACATTAACCTTTGCACTTTAGCATCTGAAGAATGTGATCGAAACAAGCCAAACGTCTCAGCTGCTCTCCCACACTGCGCCGCAGGCAAACTCAAAATAGACTCCTTCCTTTGAGGGATCCTGTAAGTCAGTCTTAGTTTATCTTTTGATAGTTTATAGTCCTGAGAGGGAAAGAAATGTATAAATCAAGCAGGACTTACTGAACTGAATAAGAAATATCCAGCTAATAGTCACTAATTAAACTTTAATTAGTGACTATATCTTATTTTGGCTTCATTCTTTTCCATCTCACTCTGTCCTCTGTGCYCTCCGTCCTCACTCCATCTACTTCCATGTCCTCACTAACTACATCCACTTATCTCCTCTTTGGCTTTTTCCCGGCAGCTGCATCCTACACTCTTGAATTTCCTTTTCTCCCTCCGTCTTCTGGCACGTTTCCCTCCTCGTGGTCTTCCACTAATAGTAGCACAGTTTCCGCCAGCACCCTGTTTGTCAGCAGCACCGGTGGTGGTCTCTGTCAACCGGGGCCTCGACCAGTCTGGTGTGCAGTGGCGCCTCCAGAAATGTTTTAATGCCGGGGCCGCTGAAAATCCAGTGGTTGCACCTAAACCAAAAGATAAAACAGAATTTTGTGAGATTAGTCATGTTGTTGTCATATATAGGTTTTTTTTTTGACAAATACAGCATTAAGGAAGTTAGGGAGTCACTTTCTGATATATGCACTCTAGGTTTGATTTTTTTATTTACAGTTTATATAATTTATTCATAAAAGCACATTTATGACTCAACATATTGAAGCTTGTCCTCTCCTAAATTTATTGTTTATGTATGTATACATATACAGTATATATATACTGTATATATATATATATATATATATATATATATATATATATATATATATATCTCCTGCATCCTAATGTTGAGGACATTGGTTTTAGACCAGTTGTCTTTATTCAGGGGGAAGTTAAAAACGCGCACCAAGCACAACCTTAGGACTCAGGATGATAAACTGTCTGACCAATCATTTAGATGTTTTGGGAAGTGTTTTATGTCAGATGCCCTACCTGATGCAGTCCTCATCATTTACCTGGACTTGGGACCGACACCAGGGATACACTGGTTTGTGCTCAGTTGTGGCTGTTTTTTATTTTTTATTTATTTTTTATTTATTTATTTTTTGTATTGAGGTGTGGAAAAACAGATTTTTTTTTTTGCTGATTTTGTAACACTTACAAAGAAATACACAGTTTTATTTTCAGGTTTCCTTTTACTGGAAAACGACTGAAACTACACATTACACAAGAAAAAATAAAAATCTGATTTGCATGTCACTGAGTGAAATAAGGTTTTAATTTTTAAGTAAAACATGACTCAGTACTTGGTGTAGAAATCTCAGCAGCACGGTGGTAAGACGTTCCTTGTAGTGGGTCACCACTCACTGCTTTTTCAAGAAACTCTCTTAATCTTTCAAGTTTCTTTGCTAACACTCTTGTCCACAGATGCATTACAGCAGAGGAGCCCAAAGTGGGGCCTGCGGGCCAGATTTGGCTCACCAAGCCATTTGATTTGGCCCACCAGTAGTTGACATAGTTTCTAGGCTGTAACCTGTCGTCCTGTGTAGAAACACAGTATTTCCACTCAGTCATTTCTTCTATTGGCCCAATGATAAGGGCTGCACTTCAGATGGTTTTCACTCATGGTGCTGACTTTATCTTTGATATATTAAGATTAAACATGAAATACAAGTAACAAGATATATTTAGATTAGATTTAACCACATAGATTTTCACACTTTACAAGGCCACAAAAACTCATATTTGGTGAATTTATGAAATGTCCCATGAGCCTTTGCTGCTTGAGAGTATGACAGACTTTCTCCAAGTGCACAGACTAAATCAAAGGCAGGCCACCACACTGGCTGCTAGCTTAATCGTTAAGAATAAAGGACTTTACTAAAAAGTATTTGTATTTCATGTATTGTATTACTGCATTTGACCCGCAGCCCTGAATAGATTTTCCTTTTGGCCCTCTTGGGGAAAATGTTTGGGCACCCCTGCATTACAGGATTTACAGCATTTTCTCCAAATTTTCCCTGAATCATTTAGTTGTTCACTGTTAAACTGAAGACAGGCCTGAACACGTGACTTCTTCAGCAGAAGGTGCTTTTGAGTTCTGCAAGACNGGGGGGGGGGCTATGATGCAGTTTACTTGGCGTCTGAAAATACATTTCCTCAAAGGTATTTTGAATCTGAAAAGAGCTTCACTGAGTGAGAAGGTGCTCAGCAGACAGCTTCAGTTTCAGTTTCACCAGTTGYTTGCTTTGTTACTGCCGAGAGCCTGCAGGAGTTATGGGCGGGGTGTGTGGGGTGGGGAGGTGTGCTCCGTGATGAGGAAGCTCGGCTTGGAGACACATCCCAGAGGAGGAGATGGTCCCAAAACGCATTTCTAGTCCCAACTGGTTGTTTTTGCTCCTCTGCCTGGCTGCCTCAGGACACTACAGGATTTCTCAAACATGCATGAATGAGTTAAAGCAAGATTGTGGGCATGTTTTTGATGAGAGGATAACATCATGATATAAATGATATAATGATATAATCATGATATGACATGATATAAAACTTAAAAAAAGGTGATTTTACATGATATAGCCCCTTTAAGATCAGAAGTGTTTGGTTGACTGACTCGGTTGATATCTATGTGCCACATGGGAAGATAAAGTTGTGGCTGGGTTGTTCCAGATTAAATTTTTACTTCTTATTTGAATAAAAAATGCAGTTTGATTTTACATCTTTCTTTAACAATGAAGCAAAAATTAGAGACTATTAATCTGTAAAGACTTTAATCTCAGATGGATAAGATCTTGTAACCCAAGTTGATCCCTGATGTTTGTCCCGTCTCCCTCTCCAGGTACAACAGTTTTTTGACGAGCCAGCGAGCTCAAGGTGTCATCGCCATCTGCTGGGCTTTATCCATCATCATTGGTCTGACCCCCATGATGGGCTGGTACAAAAACAAGCTGCCAAAGAGCACCAACGACAGCTGCTCCCCTGGCTTCATGACGTGTCTGTTTGAGGAGGTGGTGGACATGGAGTACATGGTCTACTTCAACTTCTTTGCCTGCGTACTCATCCCCCTCCTGCTGATGCTGGCCATCTACTTGTGCATCTTCATGGCAGCGCGCCACCAGCTGAGGCTGATCAAAATGAAAGTGGTTTATGGGGAGAAGTCACGCTCCACTCTGCAAAAGGAGGTGCAGGTAGCCAAGTCCCTGGCCATCATCGTGGGCCTGTTYGCCGTCTGCTGGCTGCCTCTGCACATCATCAACTGCTTCAACCTCTTCTGCCCCGACTGCCCGCGGCCCCCTCTCTGGATCATGTACGTGGCCATCATCCTCTCTCACGCCAACTCTGTGATCAACCCCTTCATCTACGCCTACCGCATCCGGGAGTTCCAGAAGACCTTCTGCAGGATTATCCGCCACCACATACTGGGTCAGCAGCCGGTGTGGAAGAGCTGCGGCAGCGAGCGCAACTCCACTCACAACAGCATGGCGGGCTCCGTCAGGCACAAAACAAACACCCTCAGCTCGGACTTCCTCACAGAGCAACACTGCAGCAACAGTAAAAACACCAACTGCTGTCCTGCTCACATCCCACCTGTCGGGGGCGTTCTGATGGCAGTGTCTCAGTCTCCTCTGTCAGTTGTCATCTCCCACTGCCCTCAGATGAGGCCGTGTGCGCTGCACGCTCTCAGGCAGGCCGAAATCCCCCCAGCCCATCATCTTTTATGCCCCGAGGAGCAGGAGCACAGCAGCACAGGAGCAGAGGTCCTGGAGGAAAAGGTCAAAGAGGACCTCGACTCCAGTCAGGTCTCACCGCTGTTCAACAAGCAGAGCAGGAAGAATTGCTTTTGTGAGCTGGACAGGGTGTCCTGACACGTTAACAAGGAGGAGGTCAGCCATTAATTCAGCAGCACTGTGATTAAACGTCAGCTTCGGCATTGGAGAGGAGATACCAGCTGATAAACTTTACTGGGGCAAAATAAATCTGCTTTCCACGAGAGAAAAGACTGCCTGCAGGATTGAAAATACTGTTTCTAATTTAATCCAGAGTAAGAGTTTATAGCACTGCTCTTGGTCTAAACTGCTTTGTAACCTGACAGGATGGTTTATTATAATTCTGCAGCTGATACTTTGGTTTAGGCTCATCACACAGAAGGTTTTACACTTTTATTTCAGCAGAGAAGACCCTTAAATACTTACATTTAGATTGTTAGGGGCTCATAAATGTAGCACGAGTCAGTTGGTAGAGCTGATGCCTCTCAGCAAGAAGGTTGCCAGATCAAATCCTGGCCCAGGACCTTTCTGGGTAGAGTTTCCATGTTCTCTCCGTGCATGCATGGGTTCTCTCCGGGTTCTCCAGCTTCCTCCCACAGACCAAAAACATGACTGTTAGGCTAAGTGGTAAGTCTAAATTGTCCCTAGGTGTGAGTGAGAGAGTGAATGTTTGTCTCTATGTGTCCCTGTGATGGACTTGTGACCTGTCCAGTGTGTATCCCGCCCCTCGCATGGGTATGAGCACAAGTGACCCCGTGGGTAAAATATAATGGATGGATGGGGTCATAAAGGTGCTATCTCACTGGGCTACAGTTATTGATAAATGGGTTTGATATGACATTTTTATATTAAACAGGCTATTGGTTCCTAGATGAAAAAACTGCAGGATTTGTGAGTTTTTCATTACAAACTCATTGAACCCAGAGTATGTGCAACCAACCTGCAGGTGTGTTGCAGAGTTTTGAGAAGCCTGTTTAAAAAAACTGTCCGCTTGTTTTGGTGTGCATGGCTTGCAAAACTATTGAACCCATCCACTGACAATGGATTGAAAAAAAATTATTGTGTGGCCACAAGATAAAAAAAAATCAGCCATCAGCTGTGTCTAATAGCTGCAATATATAACGCTAAGAATTGCTTCATGCCTACTGTATCATTCAAATAAGATTTAATTACAAACTTGTCCATGTTAACAATCAACACTTTCTGCATGGAAATTACTGCATCAGTTATCTCATGGCCACAGCTTTTTTTTAAATAATGTCATCGGACGGGCTCCGTACAATACTCTATTCCTGGCTGTGCTCATTCTGCCCAATTCATATATGCTTTGTCTTGTCTTGTAACCATCTTGGCACACCGCCTCACGTTTATGATTCAGTCTGCTGGAAAACACTTTAAAAATGAAAGCAGGCAGATTTAGACCAGTTTTTCAGTAATATTTATTTATTCAAAGTGGATTTTAGACCTGGACATTTGCCCAAGATGTTGTCTGTTAGAGGTGTCAGAGTCTGCTCCTGAGATGGGTCGGAGACGCCTGTGACGACTCTGTGGCTATTTTGACAAAAATGTTGTACAAGTTATTTTTTYAAAGTAAAAAATAAGCTCAAGCTTCAAGAATGTGCACCTCTGGGACTAACATGAGGAAGTTCAGAACATTGTGAACAACAGGCGGTATTCTGACAACTCTCTCATGAATGCTGTTTGCCAACTTTGCAGCCCAGAGAGATCTCATCTTTACTTATTTTAACCTGTTTGACCCACCTCAGCTTCACCTGTAATGAGGAGTGGGCTTTAATAAGATCTTTTTTATTAAAAGAAGGGAAAAAGAAAAAAAAGATGGAGCAATTGCTTCATTTTTCAGGAACGTTAATGTTAACAATAATGTGTGTTTTCTTTTGTTAACTGTGAGGTTGTTTCAACAACAAGAAGCTTTTATTTCATTCAAGCTTTTTCACTTTAGAATGTCTGACTTGTGTTGTGACACGCTTCTAGCTGAAACTTTCACTTTTTTTTTGCTGCCCAGAGCTTCCTGTGCTGTTTTGTTTTTTGACTGTGGTAACCTGAGCATTTCAGACTGGTTTGTGTTGGCAGTCTCTTATCGTCTCTCGTGGTTTTGATGCTGCAGCCGGATGTTTAGTAAAGCAGCGCRGACATGGAAAGTAATCAGTGTTTTTTCAGACTGACATGTGGCTTTAATGTTCTGTCAAATTTATGCAAACTCAGTTTAAGTTGTTTTTCTGATGAATTAGTTCAAAAGGAGCTTTTACAGTTTTTGTCCCCACGACCGGGCTTTCACAAAGTCTTGGCTTTAAATAAGGTTTTACAGTTTTCAAATTGAACTTTTATTTTTTTATCTGCTGTGACCACAGAAGGATCTTTATTACTTAATATAACTAAGTGGTAATTATTCAGTAAAGCTTTCCACTGGCCTTTTAAGTAGGGACATGTTTCATAATAGATCTGAGAGCTGGAGAAACTGAGTCAGAGATCGTTTTGACTTGTGCTGGGAAACGGTTCATCAGTCCATTGGAGCTCTTTATTTTCTCAGCTTTTGTCTCTGCTCCCCTGTGAGCTCATGTTCCAGGTTTATATATTTGGTTAACTGTGGTTCTTTGTTTTAGAGGGTTGGTTTTGTTTGAAGATTAGCTCTGTCCCCCATGAGTCTTGGTGTTCTGCAGTTGACCCAGGTTTGCTTCAATAATGGATTTCTTGCTTGGTGATTTCACACATTGATTATTTACAACCTGATAAACCTAATATTTGCTTTTAGTTTCATGGTCATCATTAATAGAAGGAGACTGCAGAATCCAACAAATAAGCTGCTGAGGCTGTTTTCATTAAACCACCGGCAAAATTATTTTAGTTTCAAGCTGGAAAATGTGAAGCATTTATTTATTTTATAACATTATCTTTTCTCTGATAAAGAAGAGATAAAAACAAAGAAATGATTACTATTTTATGTTTTATTATTATTATTTTATTAATATTGGTATTGTGCCAGAGAAACTAATGTGGCTTTATATACAGGTTTGCAAAAGTATTCACTATCCTCGCCACTTTGTCGGTCTCTCTGTTGTGTTTTCTTACAACCTGGAACATTTAAGATATTTTTGTCTGCTTTGTATCAGTTACTTCACACAACATAACTACTACTTTGCAAATGCAAAATGTGCTTTTATTGTAAAGAAAAACAAAGAATAAAAACGTAACAGAAAACCTGTGTGTACATTTTTTATTCACCTCCAAGCAAAAACTCTGTATTTTGTCGATCCACCTTTTTGCAGCTGTTACAGAATCAAGTCACTCCAGAGATGAGCTCAACTAACCTCTGGACTTTTCCTCCATTTTCATGTCCAAACTGCTGCAGGTTCTTCAGGCTGAAACGTTGGTTTTGTTCAGTTCAGCTTATAGCGCTAAATCACAACTATTGGTTTCTTAGGACACTTTACAC